CAAGATCTCTCCCCTGGGACATCAGGTTGAACACCAGTGCAGAAAGAGGGAGGAAGCTGATTGGCATGAAAAACCTTCAATGTGTTGGAAGAGCCCTGAAAAGGCCTTGAGAACATCAAACTCAACCTGAGGGGTTTGAGAACACCCAGTACTTGTTAAGTTTCCCACCATGGCCAGAATAATGTTTTTTCTTGCACTCCTCACTTATGGTTCAGGTCAATGGGACTCACAATCTTGAGGAGATCCCATAAAGCAAGATGTCAGGGTGATGCTTCTCTGCATACCAATAACTGTCTCTTGTTTGTTTCAGGGGTGAATTCTCAGACTGTGGTGACCCAGGAGTCATCATTGTTGGTTTCTCCAGGAAGGACAGTAATGCTCACCTGTGGCCTTAATTCTGGATCAGTGTCTACTGGTTACTACATAAACTGGTTTAAGCAGATCCCAGGCCAAGCTCCCTACACGCTGACAAGGATATGGGCGCCTTGTGGGCCTTACTTGGAAAATGCACTGGGATTCCTGGTCCCGGGTGTCAGTCTATGCAGTTACATAAGGGCATTGATTCTTGTCGAAAACTACTCTGAGTTTCAGATGCTCTAGATGGGAGCCCAGCGCAGGAGTTCAGGGATCCCAGGACCTGTGTCCTTCACCAGGGCAGCTCACCTTCTTGCAGTCGGTCACTGAGATTTCAAGGCTGGGACCCTGGCCTCTTCTGAAGGCTCCAGGAGATTCTCTGTCTTTAGAAAAAGCAAGTGATTCTCATTGTGACAATACAATGCTATGTCAAATCTGCAGCTTTGTAGAGTAACATAGAAATACAAGTCAAACCTCATATGTCATTTCACAGTTTTAATTAATCATCTTTACATGAAAATTACAGGAAGAATTAAGTTTAATAATATATGTAATTTTATTCAATTGTCTATGACATTATTATTTCAATAAGGAATTTACATTTAGAATGGGACTATCTTACACTATTTTCTACTAAGTCTTTGATATCCTGTGTATATTTCACATTAATGGTACATCTCTACCTGTGTCATGGACATTATAGACTCAGAAGCTACCTGTGACTCTTGATGGCTATATTGGTCAGATCAGGCATAGAGAGAATATGTTCCCTTGGGGTAATCACATCTGTAGTATATGATCCTAGCCATGTGGGGACGACAGAGGATACTATAATCCTAAGAGCCTCACAAATCAAGAATGTCTGCTTTGCCTTCAGCTCATGGCAGAGAAAGCAACAGTGAGATAAAGAACAAATGAATGTTTAAAATATGTGGGCCAAGATTCTTTTCTTTTCATAGACATTAACCACAGTTTGAACTAGGAATCTAAACCAAGAAAAGTGTTTTACTACTGCTCAGTGAATGAATAATAACAGTTCATGTAAATTATCTTAGATCAGCTGCTTCAGTGTTTCAATCCCAGTTGGAATAAACCTCCACAAAACCTATTGAGATACTTCTCAGGCAACACTGTAAAATAGGTACAGTGTGTGGGATGGATACTGGTGCGAAGGAGGAGGTGAATGAAGGAGATTAGGTGAGGGTGTATGGATGATGAACCTCATATACTTAAGTGAAATAGAACAAAGAAACCTCTAGCAATTGGTTTAAGTGAGGCAGAGGGGGTTTAGGGAGAGAGACACTGGGGACAATGTAACTAATGTATAATATCAGCCTAATTGAAATCATCACTATGAATCCTCCCTGTATAATGAATATAGCCTAATAAAAATTATATAAAATAAAAAATACTATTGAGGACTGGTGAGTTTCTTTTATATACATAGAGAGAAAAGAAAGAGGACTGATCATGAGGACATTTATTGGCATTTTGAGAACTGACATTCTTTCTCCTGAGATATATTTCCTGCCTTCAAGCATCTAGTATGTTTTTGAAAGTGAATTCACTCAAGGATAGTCCTACAAAATTTGATCCAGTGTTGTATCAGGATACAAAGAAAAGCTGTCAGAATTGGCCAGTAAATCTTTTTTTTTTTCATTTTTCTTTTATTATTCATATGTGCATACAAGGCTTGGTTCATTTCTCCCCCCTGCCCCACCCCCTCCCTTACCACCCACTCCCCCCTCCCTCTCCCCCCCAATACCCAGCAGAAACTATTTTGCCCTTATTTCTAATTTTGTTGTAGCGAGAGTATAAGCAATAATGGGAAGGAACAAGGGTTTTTGCTGGTTGAGATAAGGATAGCTATACAGGGCATTGACTCACATTGATTTCCTGTGCCTGGGTGTTACCTTCTAGGTTAATTCTTTTTGATCTAACCTTTTCTCTAGTACTTGTTGGCCAGTAAATCTAAGGGAGATCTTGAGGTGATTCTTCTGTATGGAATTGTGATCCACTCTCCACTATTCAGGTGAAGAGTCTTCTCTCCACTGTCTAGGTGAAGAGTCTTCTCATGAGGGCTGTCTCATCACTTGATGTAAGGGGAGTTTGTACATTAAGCACTGAGTTGGACCTATCCCAAACCCAGTGCTCAGCTTTTGGTGGATCCTGGGAATCTCATCTTTACATTCAGATGCCTCTCCTTGCTTCTTTTTGATTCCATGGCCTCTTATGCACTAACATGATTTCCCTCATTGTCAGTAGCACTGGGTCATATGACTATAATCACTTGCTCTTGAGACAAACACTCAGATCAGTACGTTCAATGGTACTAGAAGAAGAAAGACCTTTCTCCTGTGCTGGTCATCTATTATTCTGATATCTGGTCCTCAGTGATCCCTGACATATTATTAAGGTCAAGCACTGGGAACACAGTCATCTTGACCATCAGTGTAGCCCCAGCGATGGATGAGGCTTGACAATATTGGCACAGAAAACAGTGACACGGACACATGGGGAATTGATGCACCAACCCTTTCCTTTTCTGTATCATATTCATCCCCAGACTATGACTGGGACCAAACAATAACCTGGTCTGTCATATTTGAGTGTCCAGGCAGCCCTTTCTTCTTAGCTCTACAGATAGGCTTAACAGACTGTGGATATAAAAAAGTAGTATAACAATATTCCATTAGTCCAAGAGATAGAGAAATGATTAACAAAATATCATGGATGACCAAAAGGAGTCCACATTGAACACACATAATTGAAAAATATAACATTGGCATTTTTAACAAAGTGAGAAATCCTGGAGTGGATGAGATTCCTAACATATAGTAAAATACACTCAATGATTGACAGTTGAGTAGATATTGTAAATGACAAGAAGAAGTCATCTACCCATAGCATTATAAAAGTATTTAATATAAAATATGGTGGGTAGGGGTGGAAAAGACCAAGCTTTTTGTGTTTTAGATACTTTCCTACAGTTTAAAGTATTTGTGGTTGAACTAGAGAAGATAGGGTGGCTCTTGGGGGTGAATATAATACGTGATGACATCATGAACCAAAATATTCCACTTTTTTGGAAAACTGGAAACCAACATGTACAAGAAGCTCAATAAAACTCAAGGCAGCAAGTACTAAGGAAACAATATTATCACAAGTTTCATGGTTGCAGTGCACTGATAAAGGCAGCATTGCAGAGACAATAAAGGTATGAGCAGATTTCTCATCAGAATCTAGGAAGAGAGAAGTCTGGGGAGTGATATCTTTAAAATACAAAAGAAAAAGTCTGTTAACCTGCAATACTTTACCCACTGAAAATGTTTTCATAAACAGAGGCAAAATAGGTCATTTACAGATGTATAAAGACCTTCATTCTAAGCAGGGGGACCACACAGACTTAAGAATTCCCACAAGATTCTCCTTGTTGGAGCAACCCCTAACTATGACCTTTTCAGAACTCAGCCCTGTACAACCTTGACCCAGACACCTTCACAGAGACTGAAGAAGGCTTCTATGGCAGGTCTATTTTCTGGCACTTGTGAAATCATTATATAAAACTTTGATACAAAAAGAAAATGAAGAATGTATTTCTGATAACTGTTAGTGCCAGGGCAAGAGAGAATTATAGAAGGAAATCTATTATAGTGGAGGGTTAGTGTCCAAGATACAGCCTGAAAGAAATGCTAGCAGTTTTTTTACAACATACTTGTAATTTAAGTAAAAATTCTTTGGTCTTGAATTTCTCACATATGTTAAATTTGTAGAATTTATCCTTAATCTTGCAAACCTGCTGGGGATTCATTTCATCATAGACCACCACTTATGCTGTACTGCTGTCAGTATCAGATGGTGTTAGATCATAGGCTGTGAGACCTTCCCTGAGTGAATTGCAAACACAGGCAGATCAAACCATAGCTGTGGTTTACATAAAATCTAACAGTAAGGATACAGATTGATAGCACAAATGGGGTCCTGAAATTTTTCGTGGAAATTTTATTTCCACCATGCATTCCATTGTTTGTGATCCAGGGTGGCATTCTATGACTCTGCAAGACCTCACCAGCTAAGCAACTTGGCCAGGGAAGATTGTGTTTGAGATATTGCCCAAATTATGGGCCCTGTAGGTGTCTGGGCTCTTCCTGGTTGAGTGTATGTCTGCAGGTTCTCCCTTCCCACAATGTCTCCTGCTTAGCCCTGCATTCATCTCTACAGAGTTCCTGCTCTGTAGTGATGATTTCAGAAAGATTTGCATAAAAGGCAGCTCCTTTCTGCAAGGGGATAAGAGAGGCCTGAGAGGATGTCAGCCAGCTTAGACCACAGGCAGTAGCATGAAGACCTTTCCTACTATGGCCTGGACTCCCTCCTCTTCAGCCTCCTCCTGCACTATACAGATCTTTCCCCATACCTCACCAAGACAGCAACTCAGCTCAGGGATATGAGAATAGCCAGGCCATGACTCTGAGCTCAGCAGGGCCCTTGTGTGAACAGGATGCTCAGAACCTACTGAAGATGGGGGCTGTGAGGACCTGGAAGCTGAGAACCTCATACAGTTTAGTTGGGGGATGGCCATTCTTGGTTAAGTTACCTAATGTTCAAAACATCCTTTTCTGTTCTTGCTATTGATTGCCCTATGGACCATGGAATCTCTGCAGCTCCTGCAGGTCATATGGGGGAGTGTGACTCGTCAGAAAGGTACTTAATATACTTTATATTTAAGTCCTCCTTTTCTCTCCTTGCAGGTTCTGTAGCCTCTTATGTGCTGACTCAGCCATCCTCAGCGTCAGTGACACTGGGACAGATGGCCAGGATCACCTGTGGGGGAAACGGCATTGGAAGTAAAACCGTGAACTGGTACCAGCAGAAGCCAGGCCAGGCCCCTGTGCTGGGCATTTATCGTGATAGTAACTGGCCCTCAGGCATCCCAGACAGATTCTCTGGCTCCAACTCTGGAAACACAGCCACGCTGACCATCAGCAGTACCAGGCTGAGGATGAGACTGATTATTACTGCCAGGTGTGGGACAGCAGCAGTGATGCTCACAGTGACACAGACACATGGGGAAGTGAGACAAAAACCTGCCACCAGCCTGGTTCCCACAGCCCCTCCTTAGTGTGCTCACACTGACGGTAGCCTGCCTGCCACATGGAATGGAAGTTTCTAGTCCTGTACTTGCACTCCTGTACCTGAGAGATGGCAGAGGGGTGGTTCCTGTAGTTTTGGAGGTTCATCTGTTTCCATTGTAACCTGAGCTGTTCATTTTTTTTGACTTAAGCTCCCTACAAGAGAAAGCACAGAATCCCTCTTTATCACATAATTATTGGTATGAAGGAGAATTCTATTGAGACTGAAACTCACAATAAAGAAAGGGAAGGTTAGATGGATGACTATAAGTTTGGAGGATGTACACTGGGAGTAAAGCTGGTCCTTCAGGAAGGAACTGACTGTAGTTTAGGAATGGGGGTCACAAAAGGCAAGTGTTAGAAATGGTTTGGATTAGTAGACTTTTTTAATACTGTACTTCATTCTCTCAGCAAGAACTGGGTTCTTGGGGATGAAAAACTTCACATATATAAATGGTTTTCAAATACATCCTAAACCTAAAAGAGACTTAGTTACAATTCAAACCCTCATCTTTGGAAGGAGTGCTGTGGTTCCATAGTGAAGCTGACACATGTGGCCTCACCTTTCAGCACAAGCAACATTGTAGGGTGACACTGACCATGAGAAGGAGAGCATGTGGCATTTCTAGAGAGAAACAGACTCACATGTTCCATGTAGTGCTGAGAGTGTTGAGTCAGATGGTCCAGTTTCAGAACTTGGGTAGAAATGCACAATAATGATTCTTTATGGAAGGGATGGAGATGATTGAAGATGTTTGAAATGGACCTCTGCAGGTACACGCCTGCCTGGTTGAGTCACACTTTGGCAGGAAAGGAACCTAGACTCTTTCTGTCCCAGTTCCTTAAAGCAGCATCCCCAGGCTCTTCTGTCTTTAAGCAGGGTGCCTTTTATCCATCACTTACTGCCACCTCATCTCTATGGTTTCCCTCCCTTTATTTCCAGTCACAGGGATTCCATTCTGCACACATAGACTCCACCACCTGCTCCATGACAGTCCCTGCAGAGAAGGCCAGGTACAGAATCTCAGTCATTAGCTTTGCTCCCACTCTATGTGCAGGGAGTCATGGGGCACCACAGCAAGTACTCTCAAAGGACACCATCCTTATACACAGCTAGATGGTACAAAGAGACTACCTTAAGATTCCAGTGGACCTTTTATATGCCCAGATTCCAAAACATCTGGACTGCTTAGAAGGTGGTTATAACGCAGCCTCAGCTAAAACTTGAAGGTCATTTTGGGTATCTCCATGTGATCACACCCGACTCTATTTGTCCAAACCTCCTATATGGATATGGTCCTTAGTAACCCAGCTGGTAATGGCAGTGGTGTCCTCATTACTCATGGGATTGTGTATTTGAAAATCCAATTGAAATCTCTGAAACATATTTTAACACAGAAAATTGTATATAATGAATTATTTACCATCAAGTTCTTTATTGTATACTTGCAAAAGAGCCTAAAATTACAAGAAATGATTCACCCACTTGAAATTCTGTTAGTACATAAAGCATTTGAGAATTTGTGATTGATGTGTTCCTTATTTCTTATACAAAAATTGATCCTACCACTTATTGCTATGGCCACAATAAAACTGTGCCTTTTCCAGGATTAGTGATGCTCAAAAGGAGGCCTAGGAAGGCTTCCCTGGGACCATGGACAATAGCACTACTTCTGTACAGCTCTATTAGTATAGAGTCTGAATTACATGACACCTTAACAAGGAACAGAGCCCTGCCCACGTGTGTGATCAGGATGAGGGGCCCTTAGGAAGTCTACTGTGGTCAGCACACAACTCCTGGCCCCCTCTCACACTCCTTTCTTCACTTTCAGCACAGTGGAACTGCTTACTTCCTGACCCAAGTTTGCCTCCACTGAGTTCTACAGCTGACCTTGACCCAGAGGTTATTTTTCCAGATGCTGCAGGATTAATCTCCTAACCTCCTGTCCCTGCAGGACCTGGCTTTTCTTAAATCTCAGTTTTCTATAGGACAGTTTACCAGATAAACCTGTCACATACCAGTTTAGGGGAAAGGAAACAACAGCAGTTCAAAAAAGAACCGAACCAGCCAGAGGCAGGCCAGTTGTGCAACCAAAGAAGCTTTCCATCACCCTAGAAAGTGCTCAAGCTGTAACCTGGGGCTCATGGACATGAGTCCTTGGAAACAAATCTGGGGTCCTGTGACAGATGGGGATGGATGAAAGGGAAAAATGTAGAAGGGTAAATATGGTTCAAATAATGTATAAACATGCATGTAAATGGAAAAATGAGTCCTATTGTAACTCTTGCAGAAATGGGTGGAGAGGGGAAAAAGGAGAATGATGGTGGGGGCAAATTCTGCTATGATTTATTTTATATATTGTAAGAAGTTTAGTAAATGCCACAATGTACCCCCATCAAAACAATAAATAAATAAATACACAAATAAAGATAATAGTAACATAAGTAATGATGACTGAGGGAATCTAAATCCCATCTGAGCTTCTGTGACACAAAATCAGGCACCACCTCTCACATCACAGCAGCCATTGCTCTCATGGGCAGAGCAGAAGAGTGGGTTCCTGAACATATGAGGATACTAGAACCGAAGCACACCATACAGGTCTCTGAACATCAATGGTTCTTATAGGAATGTTACATTTTATCCTGCACTCTTACTTCTTTTAACACAAACACACTAACAAAAAACCAGAATACTGTGTTTTAACTCTACAATGGGTTTATAGTCCTGGAAGTGTCCTACACCCATTGTATGCCTGGGCTACATTTGTGTGTGGTGTGGGCAGGGCCAATGGGCACAATGAGGGTGTGAGGCTGGACCCTCTTCACACTATCTCAGGTTCTCACTTGGAAGATGGAAGCTGAAGCTGAGTACCCACAACAAGCAGAGTGCAGCAGAGCTGCAATCAGGAGCCCAGGGGAGAAACTGGGCAGTTCAGAGGTAGCCAATAGGGAAGTCAGACCTGGGGTTAGCAAGTATCCAGGGACAGTTCTCAGTTGAGAAACCCAGGACAGTTAATCATACTACATCCTGAGGCTGCAATGGGCATAATCTGATGTTCGACTCACAGAGTGCAATTCTGAGACACTGGCAGAAGCCTGGAAATAAACTTCAGAATTCACCAAGGGATCCTGGTAACCAGTGACAACCTGGGCAGCTCTCACAGTGCTACAAGGCAAGGCAGACCACCTCATGAACCTGTTTGCTCTTGGAACAAACTCAGTATGAAAGGCTGGTGCTCCAGAACCTGTGCTCTTCACCAAGATGGTTTCCTGGGCTTCCTGCCCCAACTCACAACCCTCTCTCACTGTTCAGCAGTAGTTCCTGGCTGACCTTTCTGGGCATTTT